GAGATAACCGAATAATAATAAGCGTTGCAGCGATTAGAGGTTGCTTAGGTACGCAAAAAATCAGAGTCGGCTTTATAACTGCCTGGTTGGGATTGTACCTTTAAACAAGCGTCTTGCTTTTCTAAATTCCTGAGAATGTTGGAACTTTTTTAAAGACCGACGCTGACAGCATGCTCAAATTCCGTTTGTCTGCACCTCTTCCTGTTATACATTAATTGGTCTAATGTTATATTATTCCTTTTTCTTTATATTCGTTAGTAAGTTGAAGGAAAAAAGTAAATGCGACAGTTTTATTGCGGACTATGCCAATTTCGAACGTTCCAACTGTAGATATTTATTCATCGAAAACTAATTCAAACATAGTATACATGCATAAGATATTCGCCTCTGTTAGTCTTTTTAACTACAGTCGAACTTTGATAAGTCGAACTACGATAACTCGAATTTTTGATAAGTCGAACCAAATTGGTTGGCAATAGCGTCAAAAGTAGGAAATGCGTGTAAATTTCTCTTGATTACTAGAACTTGGATTACTCGAATATCTTGATAACTCGAACGAAATATTTTGCGCCAACTTCGATAAGTCGAACTTTCTGGGGGAATCCCGGAATTACGGTCGATTTTAACCTATCTTTTTTAACGTATTTATGCAGACAGTTCAGTTTCTGCGCTTGTTAAGTTCACTTGTTTAACTTACTAGTTACTACTAACAATAAGTAAAAACTACTGCGCCTATTTCATTTATATATTACATTAAAGACATTTTTGCGTGTGTTAATATGTCATCAAACGTACTTTAAAAACATTGTCTGTTGATCAAAGATTTGAAAATTCGTTGAGTGCCTTGCGTTCCTATTTAAAAGCCAGTGAATATACAACCGGTGCTCTGTATAATAGTTTAAATGAAATTGAAGCTTTTTTCGAAAACCAAAATAAGAAATCCGTTCGTCAGTCACAAATAACTGACTTTTTTACAGTAAAATAGTAAATACATACATATATGTATNAATATTTTTATGTAATCCACAACAAAATGTTACTTATTCATATGTTAACCGATAAAGTAAATTTTGATTGTAATACGACGTAAACTGCTTTCAGCTTGAGTAGTAGGATTAGGGAGGGTAGCAATAGCTAGCGGATTAAGGCTGGATTTAGTGGTTTATTGAGAAACGCGAAATTCTGAGGGGACAATGTCGTGGACTAGAAGAGAATAAATGTTTAATACGAGGGTTGGTAAGGAATTTAGGTATACTAAATCACAATATGTATTGTAGCGAACACGAGTGTGTTTGTGTGCGAGAGAGGAAAAAACTTTGCCAGAGATCCTTATTAATAGTAATAATTTTAATAAACATTTGTACGATTTTCCTGCACTATTCTCATGCATGCCTATTTGACAGATCCCAATTACACGTCAAAAAAAAAATAAATTCAGCCCCTAAAATCAAAAATAAATACATTCAAATACACCCCCTAAAGGCGTAAAGTCTGTTTGCAGCATTTTAACTAAAAACTCTATTCTATTGACACTTTTCTCTCTCTCGCACAAAAGGCCACTAAAAAACAGTAACTTCATAAGTTCAGAAAATTTACTTTTGTTAGCTCCGTTCACTAGCGCTACCTTGTGGCCTCATAAAGTTTCACTTCAAAAATAAAATGCGTGTTATAACGTGCGTACACATATATTATACATACGTTTCTAGCAATGTATAATTTACACTGTTACTTTTTTGTATTAAATTGCTAAATATTCATGGACATAAATTCATAACGGCCACAAATTTTATTATACGTCATATACGCGGCGTATGAATAACGCGGTCGGTTGAAAAAAAAAACTTCAAGTCACCCTTTATGAAATTTTATGTCTTATTCGAAGACGTAAGAAGAACGCAAATAGCAGAAACTTGGGAAGGTTTCGTGCCGAAAAAAATGGAACGACAATTCGGCAAGGAAATAAATATGCATGAAAAATGAACGTTGATCTATGAGCCCCAAACCGCATGTTTTTTTACGAACAAAAATACTAAACGATAATATGTACATATGTGTCTACATGTATCTAATCAAGTATATATCACAAAGTTCCATTGTTAACGTAAACTTATGTATAAAGCTAGTATGACAGTTATGTTTCTTATTCCGGGAATGCACTATAATTTGTCGCTAAGTATTCGCCAATTTGTTACCAAATCCAGAAATTAGTCGCTCCAGTCAGCTCTGACAAACAGACGACGTATTTGGAAAATCATAGAATAAAACATTAAGCTGGTGATAGACACAGCATATTTCATAAGAAAAATACTCAGTGAGCTGTTAATTTCTCGTTGAAAGATGGTACCTTCAATCTAGTCTCTTGATGACCCGCGAAAAGCGACTGCAGGAATGTCAAGCTAGAGCATAGATCCTAATATCATGACGATAAAAAGTAGACTTACAGTCTATGTCAATTTGTTAGAATTGTGACCTTGAAGAAATCTGCGCGAAGATAGAAAGAACACACTAGGCGTGAGCAAGACAGAAACAGTTGGAAAAAGCTTGAACGAGCAGAGCTCTCGATGGGCAGTCTTAGGAGATCGGCTAGAACTGTACAGTACTAAACGAAAATTTTTAGCAATTTCTTAAAACAAAAATGTATATAAATTAACAATAGAAAACAAAGCAGAAGCTTTACAGGTATGTAGAACGTTAAGTTAATTCACTTGTTATTAGTTTTGGCTAAATATGTTTTTAAATAATGCATATTCTTAAATTTTAACGACGCAGTTTAAATAATTTTGCAAATGGTACTGTATACTTTTGTCTAGTTCTCGCTCGATGATCGGTGGAGAAATAAGCCTCGCAGACAAATATGATTGAATTTGGAATTATGCTACGGAGTATCCTAATAAAGGGAAGGGGCATATCTCTAACTTCTTGAAACGAACAGTACATATGTTTTTATTGATTCTCGTTACCAGCAAAGTTCGACTATTGTCATGCTGCTTGGGAGTCAGTTGCAGAAAATGATAAAACGCTTAAAAATTTATGTAAAAAAATTCAGCAAGAGGAATCGAGACTCAACGCAAGAATGTGAAAATGTCAAAAATGCCATAGTTGGGAAGATGGACAAGGTCAAAAAACAGCAGTACAAGAAAGGGCAGATGTTAAGAAGAAAGCAGGATTCAAACTAACATAAGCAAGGTGGTTTAAAATGCTTCAATTGTGGAAGACATGGTCACATGAAGCGTGAATGCACAGGGAAACTGTAGAGTATTACAAAATAAACTTCAATTGCACCATTATCATGAGACATTGTGAATGAATGTTTTAAGAAATAGGAAGTTGATGAAACTAATGTGGAGTCCTTCATATCTGTAGCATTGTCAAATAAAATTGTCAGATAAACATGAAGCTTGGATACAGACGCAGAGAAGTTGAAGGTGTGCACAGATACAAAGCACGGTGGTATGAAATATCTAGTAATGGGATTTTGGTAACTTACTAGGGTCCAGTTGTATGTTTGGCACAAAAGCAATCAATTATCTCAATATATCATCAGTAGAAGTAGAATACAGAGCTGCAACAAGAGGAGTGTAGGAAATATGCAGGATTCATAAGGTCATGAAAGAATAAGAAATTAGCAATGTCTCCGAACCAACCGAATTATACATTGATAATCAGGCAACAATACGAATGCCTAAAAGTGTTAAGGGTGGAGAGGTTACATTAGGAACAAGTCGTAAGTTCATAAATGCTCATGTCGGAAAAACTGTAAGCTTGAGAAAATTATATACAGTCAAGGCAGCAGATGGTAAATACGGACTCAAGTAAGAAAATGTGTGATGAGTTTCAGAAGCATCTGTTTAAGGAGGAGTGTTGGAGATCATAAAACTACATCTACAGGTCGCAAGGATAAGCAGTTTCTCCTGCTTGTCTAAGAGTAATGTTGCTTAACTATGGTAGTCTTGTATTAGTGAGGTAGAATTGGCGGCATGTCACAAGAATTATTAGTGTAAAGCCAATTATACAACACTATAAGTGCATCAATTTATTGTAACAAGGTTTTGTTATAAAATTTAAGTGACTTGTATTAAATAAATTAAGTTCTCAACAATAAAATTTAACTAAAAATAGTTAGCCTTTCAACACGTTCTATTAGGATACTTTTTTCAGAATTTCAATCTCGATATGAGTATATTGTAGCGAACACGAGTGTGTTTGTGTGCGAGAGAACGGCTTATCGATTCGCCGGCTAGCTTTTTTTCATGTGCACCGTATTTGTAAATGTGTGTGCCGTACCTGCGTTCCGAGAAAGCAGTTAAACATTTCTACGAAAAAATAAACTATCCGAATGTTTCCAGAAGGTTCTAGAAAGTAAACAAAAAGTATTTAAAGGAAGAGACGATCGCCGAAAAAAAAGGAAATAAAGTGACTGTTGCAGAAGTGAATTCAGAAATAAATTGACAATGATAGCAGTGAAATAAATAGCGCAGTGAATAGTGATATATCAACAGTAGTGTAAAAAAGTAGAATAATTAATCACCTATGTTTAGTAATAATTTAATAGTGTTTTTTTAAGTTCTTTAATAATTAGTGTAATTAAATAGTTTTTGTCGTAATCATATCATGTTAGTACGTAGTCTGTATATAAGCTATGAAGCTACAAATTTTTGAATATGATAATACCTAAATTAGCAACAAATTATAGTGGATTTAAGAAATAGGAAATATAACATTGTCGCGGTAACTTGATAAATGTCCATTTTTAATAGTTAACGTTGATCCACTGTTTTTCTTGTTCTTCCTTTCGTTCTCAGTTGATTTCTAATTTGTAGATCTCTATTAAATAACATTAAAAGGTTCCTTAAAGAGAAATACCTATTAACCTACTACAAAGGTGCCATTAAAAATCGTTTTAGGATAATTCTGAATTTTTGTTAAACGATTTTGAATGAGCACAATCTAAATTATAAAGCTCTGCCAATAAAAGTTAAATCGAAGATGTCTTAACTTACCCGCTATTGAAGATGTTGATGCTCCCAACCACGCATGGGAGGACTCTAACAACTTTGCCTGAAACAAAAAAAAAGAATAAATTGATAATAATTATAATTATTAAACTACCGTTGTTTCAAATCAATTTTATCTCCTTGATCTTGTTACTCACAAAATTCACCAATAAAGGTAAAAAATTTTTTTGCATTTACATATTAAACACCCTATACCAGGGATGGCGAATAAATAGTATTGTATTGCCATTAGTGGCACGCGGCAAATTTAAAACGGTTCGCACAATTACCCAAAACTATTTTCATTTTCTGCACACATTCTCCTCCTCAAATCTAAATAACGTTTTAAAATAAGATTCTCGCGGTATACGTCTTGGTTTGTAGTATTTTCTTGTACGTAAATGCACCATGTCAGCCATAGCAAGCACAACACCGAGACCACACAATTAAAATTACTTATACAAATCCTTTTAGATAGTTTTTAATTCAAAAACAGTCCTACAAATACATAAATATTTTCATGTTGCACAATCTGTGTTATGCCTGGACAGCTACTGAAAAGTTGAAAAGAGCGAGAAAAGCTGTGAACCAAGATTCCTTTTTTTAGAAGCAAATCCTTTAGTTTTTGAGTAGATGTTTCTCTTTATAAATACAAATTATGTAAAACCTTTTACAAAAAAGCAAAACATCGAAGCAAAACCTTTTCCTTCGCTTTTTTTATGCATATATCTTGAAGCAATTGCTTCAATTTTTGGAAGCAAAAGGTAAGGCTTGTTTTTATAAATATAACATATTGTCAGCGGCAGAGAAAAAGAGTACCTTTTATCCAGAGAGGTAGAAAATTTTCTTTTCATCTTAATAAAATAGGACAGTATTTACCGTCATTCTTCGCAAAGTGTATGTTTAACGTAGAAAATTAGAAACTTTAGACTATTTATTAAATTGTTGTATTTTAAATGATATTTGACACGGATTTAGGACACCAACGCGAGTGAATCCATAGGTAAAAGCTTAGAAAATACCACAAATGGCGCGGTAAACGCCATCTGTAGTACGATGCTATATTTTAGGATTACGTATGCTCCAAGAAGGTTAACTTGTGTGGATATCTACTTGCTGAAACGAATCCCGGCGTAGCTAACCTCAACGTGATAGGCACGTTATCATAATCGAATAAAATAATTCGAAGTGGTTTGTATTCTGTCGAAATTGCCAGACGCAGATCGCGATTTCGAACTTTCTGGATCTCATCAGCACGTCGCAGGCAGCTCGGATTGAACACAGACCAACTTTTACCTGCTGTCTTAACAGCGCGTTTTAGAAAATACCACAAATGGCGCGGTAAACGCCATCTGTAGTACGATGCTACATTTTAGGATTTCGTATGCTCCAACAAGGTCCACTTGTGGGGATATCAACTTACTGAAACGAATCCCGGCGTAGCTTAGTCTCAACGTGATAGGCACGTTATCATAATGGAATATTAATATAATTATTAATCTAAAACGCGCTGTTAAGACAGCAGGTAAGAGTTGGTCTGTGTTCTATCGGAGCTGTCTGCGACGCGCTGATGAGATCCAAAAAGATCGAAATCGCGATCCGCGTCTGGCAGTTTCGACAGAATACAGACCACTTCGAATTATTTTATTAGGTAAAAGCTTGTTTAAAATATTAAACAAAAATTAATATTTTGCATTTTGCATTTGTATTTTCAACAGAACTCTTTAAACAAATCACAACTGTACTAGAGTCATGCAAAGATTGTATTATACACATTATATGTATGTATTTCTATACACGTAATACATAGCGCAGTTGATGCAAGTGACATGCAAATTCAACGTTTCAAGTCGTTTATGCGTGTACCTCTTCTCCTCCAGCCGACAACATTTGTTGTTATATTAATAGGTAAACGTTACAGTGGACGATTTCTGATTGACTGCTGCAACAAATCTGCAACCTTTTCTGACATACAGGACAATGGTGGTTGCTTCTGATTGTCGACCAAAACAGTCAGCATGCGAGATAGAGGAACAATAACAAAAACATTTCAATCCGTTTCATCTGACGTCGACGCGAGCTGCGTCTGTTTGTCCGTCTGTCCGTTTGTAAATCGGTTCGTTGCATAGGAAATTGTTTCTTCAACCGAATTTGACAAACAATAAAAATCTTTGTAATTGCTGCTACAATTACCTACCAATGGATTCTTATAATTTCATTTGTTATTATTTCTGCAAAAAGAGCGTGTCATAGTAATTCTTTCTCTATTGTATCTGCATTGTGATAGGTGCATATTGTTGAATTGCATAGTTGAAGTTACCCAAAAACAATATAATATTTCATCTTATCACTTATTAAAATAGGCACTCATTTTGTTGCCAGCACAGTGGTTAGGTTATGATTTAGTTTCCTTGATTAACACCAATTAGGATTAGGACTCAAAGCATTTTATATATTCTTATTGTTAGTATACATTTTCCATATACTTTTCATTAAAGTAAATGTAGATATACATACATATATGCATATTTAGAGTCTAGTCGTTCTACCAAAATCCTTCTTTCACAACTTCAGCTAAAATTAAACTTAGGGACTCCACCAGCCAGCAATAACAAGAAACAGCAAGACAAGAATCAAGCCAGAATGATATTGACAAGACAAGAAGTAAAACAACTTATTATCTTGCTAACAAATCTTTCTTTGTGTATCACTAATTCGAGTTGTAAAGAACTTACAGATATGTTAATAACCGATATATCATCATCATAAAGTCGTCAGTCCTAAGACTGGTTGGACACGTACCTCCACTCTTTTCTATCCTGAGCTAAACTTCGCATTTCCCTAAAACTAGAACAGCCCACATCCTTAACTATTTGCGAACAGTAATCTAATCTAAGTCTACCTCTACCCCTCTTAACTCCTGTTTCTGCCTCTAATATGTCTCTTACTAGACCTTCGTGCCTGAAACCGATATATATATATACTTCGCAATATTACGGAATCAAAAACGTAAAAATGTAAAGACTTTTATTGATAAGCGCTGAAGAAGGCCCACAATGGGTGCCGAAACGCCAGTATTATCATCATCATCATCATAAGGTCGTTAGTCCTAAGACTGGTTGGACACGCATCTCCACTCCTTCCTATTCTGAGCTTATCTTCGCATTTCCCTAAAACTATAACAACCCACATCTTTCATTATTTGCGAACAGTAATCTAATATAGATCTACCTCTACTCCTCCTAACTCCCGTTTCTGTCTCTAATATGTCTCTGACTAGACCTTCATGCCTGAGAAGGTGTTCTACCAACCTATCTCGCCTATTTTTTATTGACTTCCATGGAGTCCTTTGTTCTCTTACTCTTCATTTCTAACCTTCTCTATCCAAGGTATCCTCATCATTTCCCTGTACCACATTTCGAACGCTTCTCGCCTTTTCTTTTCCGCCCCGCCCACTGTCGATGTTTCGCACCCGTTAAGCGCCGCGCTCCAAACATAGACCTTTAACAACCTAACCTTTTTTGAATTTCTAAATTAACCGTTCTAGAGAAAAGAAGTGACTTTTTTTTTGAAGGCGACTCGACCCTGCGCTATCCTCTGCTTTATATCCCTACTACCCCCGTCCTGACTTATCTTACTTCCTAGATACCTAAAATCAACCACCTCGTCTCCTATCTTGATATTCGCTCTTTCTTTACTTTTCCCTTGCATATCAATAATTTTGTTTTAATTTTATTTATTTTCATACAGTACTGTTTTGTCATTACCGCTTCCTATTTATTAAAAGCTATCTTTTTCTTGGCAGTATTATAGTTGTATAAAATGACTGTTGAAGTCTATTTAAAAAGCTGTCGTAAATTCACCCTCACTACTATTTTTTATCAATGATTTAAATACTGGCCATTTAATTTGTTGCCTTTAAATTTTGATTTGAAAATTACTTTCCTTATGGAAAATATATGATAATAACACAGGAAAAAGGGAAAAACGCCCATAGATTTCCTTTTTTTTCATTGTAACGTGACTTAGGGGCGTTGTGAAGCTGAGGGAGGTAAAATGAAAGAGTTGAAAGAAAGAGCGTAAATTATACTTATATAGAACGTCTACATTATGTATGTTTGTATATATGTAGGTAGAAGAAAAGTCTTCGATAATAAAAAACAAATTAAATATAGGAAAACAATTCCTGCTGCAAAGTTTCATTTGACATTACTAAATTAAAACTTTGCCAGAGAAACAAAGGGTTGAAAATGAATAATTTAGAAAGAATCCGCTGAATAATTAAGGCGCCACGTCGCCGTTTGTTTAAATCCATATCCGACCGTAATTTAACTTGCGTGATTATCGTCATATTATTATTATATTTTATATAACGGCAGCTAAGTCTTATTACGGGTGGGAAAGGAGCGGTCTCTTCAGAAGTGGCGTAACAAGAGGGATTTCGACACAAAACCTGCAATTTTTATCTTGGTTTCGATTAGTGATACAAAATCTAAGCACTCTTCAAATGTTATGCAAAATAAAGCTCAAAAGGGTATTTAATTCTCACAACGAATTAAAGAATCAGGATTGAAATTAGGCTAAGTTACGTTAGGTTACATTACGTTAGGTTATTTGAATCATTTAAGTTGGTACTTCTTGAGTTTAAGTAGTGTTCATTTATATTTAAATAATGACTATGTATAATAAATACTGAATATATTTTTATTTAAATACCAACCCTTCATATTTAAATATTGTCACTTCGTATTTACATAATGGTCATTTATATCTAAATAGTGACTATGTAACAATGAATTATCATCATAAGGTCGTTAGTCCTACGACTGGTTGGACAAGTACCTCCACTCTTTCCTATCCTGAGCTAAACTTCGCATTTCCCCCTAAAACTAGAACTCACGTCCTTAACTATTTGCGAACGGTAATCTAACCTAGGTCTACCTCTTCACCTTCTCACTCCTGTTTCTGCCTCTAATATGTCTCTGACTAGACCTTCATGTCTGAGAAGGTGTCCTACCAACCTAACTCGCCTATTTTTTATTGACTTCCATAGAGTTCTCTGTT